CGGTGGACCGTGCCCCACACACGTAACTCCCCCTCATCCACTGCAGCTGGCATTGCTTGCCGCAGCGTGCAGCCTGGTATGAGACGGTGCGAGGGCACGGTGCTTCCGCTTTGGGCGGGCAACGGACGAACGAACAGACACACAGACACAGACACACGGACACAGACAGACAGACACAGACACACAGACACACACAAACCCACATCCACACAAAAACACACAAAACACACACACACCACACACACAACACCCACACACACCCACACCCACCCCAGCACCCACACCCACACAACCACACACGTTCACACCCACACACCCACACACCCACACAACTTCACACCCACACACCCACACACCCACACACCTACACACCCACACACCCACGCACACCTACACACAGACTTCAGCACTGCGTCCTGGGCTGAAGGCCAAATAATTGCGCGGAACGCAACGTTACCATGCAGAACGACAAGTTTCCGAAAACGAGCCCGGGGCCCAGCACACAGAAGACTTTGACGAAAACCTCTCTCGGTTCTTCGAGGGGAAAAAGGAGAAGCCAAGAACAGCTGTTTGAGGACAGGCCCGAGGATTGAATGCCCTGTACTATTTCACGGGAGGGTACCCAAAGCAACGCAAGAAACAATGGCGAGTTGCTTTGGGTATCCGCCGGCCCCCTTGTGGGGCCACCAGGCTGTAGGCCTAAGGTTCGCAGTTTCCTGTACCAGTTGCAGCTTCCAGTTTCCACTGTAACAGTTCTACTTCTTGCTGCTTACTGTTCCTTGTTGATGGACCGCGCGAGGGGGGGAGGCCCAAAACGGATATTTTTACCACGCCCTGAGCGTGTGCTCTGAATTGCTGGAGTGGGTGAAAATTTACACCCCTCACACAGATCGGCGGGGTCAGGGTCCAAAAACACAAGGGATTTGCCACATTTCTGAAATTCGGTGGCACCCCTCACGCAGATCGGCTGGGTCAGGGTCGAAAAACACATAGGATTTGCCACATGTTCGAAATTTGCTGGCACCCCTCACGCAGATCGACGGTGTCAGGGTCCAAAAACACAAAGGATTTACCACATTTCTGACATTCGGTGGCACCCGTGACGCAGATCGGCGGGGTCAGGGTGCAAAAAATACATTGGAGTTGCCACATTTGAAATTCGCTGGCGCTCCTCACGCAGATCGGCAGGGTCAGGGTCCAAAAACACAAGGGATTTGCCACATTTCTGAAATTCGGTGGCACCCCTCACGCAGATCGGCTGGGTCAGGGTCGAAAAACACATAGGATTTGCCACATGTTCGAAATTTGCTGGCGCTCCTCACGCAGATCGACAGGGTCAGGGTCCAAAAACACAAGGGATTTGCCACATTTCTGACATTCGGTGGCACCCCTCACGCAGATCGGTAGGGCCAGGCTCCAAAAACACAAGGGATTTGCCACGTTTCTGAAATTCGGCGGCACCCCTCACGCAGATCCGTAGGGTCAGGGTCCAAAAACATAAGGGATTTGCAACATCTCTGAAATTCGGTGGCACCCGTGACGCAGATCCGTAGGGTCAGGGTCGAAAAACAGACAGGTCCCGACACTGCTTCACGGCGGCGCCCAAACCTCATGATTTAGCTTTTGCATCTCCCATTATCCGAGACAGGGGGCCGGCGACATGGGGCGAAGCCCTTACGGATAATCTGTCCACAGACAACGACGCGTGGTGCGAGAAGCTGTCCGCCGCACGCCCGAATGCGGCCGCCGCGGCATGGCCTTCGCCAGCGCAAGGTCACATGAACAACTGCTGCCTTGTCTCCTTCAAGCGAGTGGTTCAGATTCCACATAGAATATGATCACACAGGTCAGTGAAGTGTCCAGCAAAACTCCAATTGGGACACAATCGGCTGCCCCCACCTGCGTAACTCTTGGGCAAACTTGCGGTGCTGGTCATGTGCCCCGAATAATCCAAATCCCTCATGAATCGACCCCCCTAAAAACACCCTTCTTCGACGGGGCGCCTTACTAAACGGGACCCCCTAAGCTTCAATCCAAAGAAAGCGCCCTCATAAACCGGATCCCCCCAGTCACAATTACGCTACCGAGGAACCCCACATACTTATTTTATGTCACGTGTGTTTACAAACCATGTCACATCTCGCTTCGCCATCCTGACGAGAGACTGACCAGACCAGCCAGATCAGCCAGACCAGCCAGACTGACCAGACCAGCCAGATCATTCGTTCCAGCCATAACCAGCCAAAGTAATCAGACCAGCCAGCCAGGCCAATCAAGCAGACCAGGCAGACCAACCATATTAGTCATGCCAACAACCGCAGCCACCCCTCCGGTGTCGAGAAAGTGCCACGCCTGCTAGGCCCTGCGACATTGGCGCGTATAGAGACCGCGGTGGGCCCCCACCCCCAGCGCACCCCCTGTGGCGTCGAGGAAATGCCACGCCTGCTAGGCCCTGCGACATTGGCGCGTATAGAGACCGCGGTGGCCCCCCACCCCCAGCGCACACCCTGTGGCGTCGAGGAAATGCCACTCCTGCTAGGCCCTGCGACATTGGCGCGTATAGAGACCGCGGTGGGCCCCCACCCCCAGCGCATCCCCTGTGGCGTCGAGGAAGTGCCACGCCTGCTAGGCCCTGCGACATTGGCGCGTATAGAGACCGCGGTGGGCCCCCACCCCCAGCGCATCCCCTATGGTGTCGAGAAAGAGCCACGCCTGCGGTGCCTGGACGAGAGGCGCGCATAGCGGCCGCGGTGAGGGACCACCCCCTGCGCACCCTCTCTGGTGTCGAGAAAGGGCCACCCCTGCCACCCTCTCCGACCCTTGCACGCATAGAGACCGCGCTGAGGGACCACTCCCTGCGCACCCTCTCTGGTGTCGAGAAAGTGCCACCCCTGCCACCCTCTCCGACCCTGGCACGCATAGAGACCGCGCTGAGGGACCACCCCCTGCGCACCCTCTCTGGTGTCGAGAAAGTGCCACCCCTGCTACGCTCTGCCGTGCCGTGCCCTGCGCGCCAGCCCTGTGTGCTATGCTGTGCTGTGCTGTGCTGTGCTGCTGTGCGGTGAGCTGTGCTGTGCTGTGCTGTGCCGTGCTGCGGTGAGCTGTGCTGTGCTGTGCTGTGCTGTGCTGTGCTGAGTTGAGCTGAGCTGAGCTGTGCTCAGCTGTGCCGTGCTGACCTGAGCTGTGCTGAGCAGTGCTGTGAGGAGGAGGAGGGGGAAGAGTGAGGTGAGTGTCGCGGGTGTGTCGCGGGTGCGGCGCGGCAGGGAAGAAAACCAGAACCCCACGAAGCATGTAGGGAAAAAAGGCGCCTTACAAAACCGGACCCGGGGACGATTAATGAGGGATTTGGAGTAGATTAGAGGGCCACATGCGAACCCTGCCCCTACCCCCCACGATTTCTGAGGGGGAGCGTGGGGTTCGTTTCGCTGGGGAGCTCCCGAGCGAAGTGAACCCCGCCCTCCCCGTCAGAAGTCGTGGGGGGCAGGGGCAGGGCTCGCATGTGGCCCCCTACAGATCTCGAGCGAGAGCCCCACTCTGAAGAAGCGCCGCCCTCCACCCGTGCAGCTGTGCCATCTGCTCCGGCTTCTGACGACAAGAGCACCAGACAACCTCTGAAGACGAACAGTGTCAAGGGGCCCTGGGACACACTAATAGATACACACACACAAGTATAAGAGGAGTCCCCATATTTTCCTACATGTTCTAGGTTTTGTCTCCCCCCCAGTTCCCATATTTTCCCATACTTGTTGGAGGGTCGACGATTAATTATGTCTGTGTGTGTGTGTTTTCCCCTCCTGAAACAGCGTCCACCCGTGCAGCTGGCACACCCCACGCCAGCCTGCGGGTGCTCTAAGGTACGCCTCAAGCAAGCGCCCTGCCACGCAAAGCAACGTGGCAAGCCTAGAGGTTGACACGAACACCAATATCGGCGTTGTGCCTCCATCGAGGGAAGAAGATCCCGACCTCTGCGATGGTGGTAACATTCTGCTTCCAAGGTGACTGACATATTACCACCAACACCGGAATCTGGGATCATCTTTACCCTGTGGAGGCACCCCCCTGTGTTGGTGTTCGTGCCCATTTCCAGGCCTCCAATAAAAACCTGCCAATCATTTTGGTCGCAAGGTCTTGAAACGAATGCGCGCGGCGCTGAGGCGAGAGCCCCATTTTGGGAAACAGATGTGCTCCGTCGACGTATGTGCTGCAAGCTGCTAGGACAAATTTGCACGGCGCTGGCGAAGGCCCCACTTTGAGAACGACGTTCGCTCCATCCTTTGAACTGCTGCGGGCCGTTAAAAGCATACTTTTTCGCAGGCATACCGGTCGCTATGGGGGTGGGAGGGGGGGGGTCGGATGGGAGGGGGCGTAACCTATCGCCCCCCCCCGACGACTGTGGTGCTGGACGCAATGCGGCAGCGCCGAGAACGCACCGAGGGGGGGAGCGTTACGTTATGGGAGAGGGGGGAGGGCGGGAAGGAACGGGGCATAACGCGCGTAATGGCCCGGAGGGGAAAACAATAGACTCTCCAGGACGAACGCGCGCAACGCTAAGGCGAGAACCTCATGTTGAAAACGATCTGTGCTCCATTACTGAAACTGTTGCAGATGTCAAGCTTCAAAACCATCGATGGCGAGGACGTCACAAGGGAAACGTGCGACCCGCCATACCGACACGTCTGCGTGCGCGACAGGGACGGGCCACTTACAAGAGAAAGGGGATACATGGAGAGGAAAAAAGGGGGATGGAGAAACAGAGAGGAGGAGGAGGAGGAGGAGGAGGAGGAGGAGGAGGAGGAGGAGGAGGAGGAGGAGGAGGAGAGGAGGAGGAGGAGGAGGAGGAGGAGGAGGAGGAGGAGGAGGAGGAGGAGAGGAGGAGGAGGAGGAGGGGAGGAGGAGGAGGAGGAGGAGGAGGAGAGAGGACGAGGAGGCAGAGGATGAGAAGCAGCGCGAGAAGAATGACAAGCACACGGAGGGCGAAGAGCAGGACGGTCGCGCCAGGCCTGGTGGCAAAAGTCGGGCAGATCGCCACCCCCCTTGCACATCGGGTTCGTCCCCTCGTCCCAAGCGTCGCAACGCCCGCCTGGGCGCGAGGCCCGGATGGCCACCGATCTCCCGACGGACCCCTATGACCTGGCGACCTCTTCTCCATCCTCCGCCCCCCTCGCCCCCCACCCTCCGGATCGTCCTCCTGCTCATACCCCTCCTCCCCGTCCCTTTTTCTCCCTGCTCCATCTCCGGTTTTTCTTCGTCCTCCACGTCCTCCTCATCCTTCATTCTCTCTGCTCTCTTGTTCCCATCCTCTTCGTTGCCACTCTATCATTATAGTGCTTTTCCTCCGCCTCCTCCTCCTCCTGCCCCTCCTGCCTCTCTTCGTCGTCCTCCTCCTCCTCCTCCTCTTCCTCCTCCTCCTCTTCCTCTCTTTCCATCCGCAGGCCGCGCCGCGGGCGCAAGCCTGCAACGTCGCACCGGGCAGCGAGCCAAGGCGCGCAACCGCCTCTCCTCCTCGTCGTCTTCGTCCTCTTCCTCGTCCTGCTCGTCCTCGTTGTCGTCGTCGTCCTCCTCCTCCTCCTCCTCCCCAGGCCTCCGACCTCCGATCTGGCGATTTCCCCCCCCCCTGAAGAAGTGTTCTGTGCCGAAAGGGCTATGGATGAATATGCAATCAATGCAACTGCTGATGCTACAATACACTCACATAATCATGAGCAGAGAGGGTATTTCAACACCCCTCCTCGCTACAAGCTGGACTGTACTCCAGATTGTAGCGCCTGGCACGACTCTGTAGCCGTCTCAAGGTAGTGGAGCGTGGCGATCCGCCCAAGCTTAGTGTAGCGAAGCGCGCAGTAGCGAAGCTCAGTGCTGTGCGGGGCTACCCGCACTCAGAAAGGTTGCGGTGTTGAGCTGTCGCGGGGCTACCCGCAAATCAGCTCTGGCTGGTTGGGCGTTTCCGTGTCCACCACCCAGCAGGATCAGCGGGGCTACCCGCTACCACGTCGCAGCTCGTCAGCATACGAGGTGTTTCCCTGCTGCTGCCCTTCCGTCGCGGAAGTCGTGGCCAATGCTTTTCATGTGGCCGTCGATCTCTTTCCGCGATAGCGGTTTCGTCAGTAGGTCTGAGCAGTTCTCTTTGGTCCCGATCTTTCCTAACGTCAGATGTCGCATGGCAATGCGTTCCTGGACCCACAGGTACCGAGTTTGGATGTGCTTCAGCTTGCCCACACCCCGCCGGGAAGAGAACCCCCGGGCGGCTGAGGAGTCAGAGACTACCCTCACGGCGAACGAAACGTTCCAACCGTCTAGAATACCTTTGATCCCGAGCCCTGTGCAAGCGCCTACGCCGATTGCGTAGTATTCGTTTTCTCCGGAAGAAACACCGATCACTTGCAACAAGTTGCACCCGTGTTTCACGCAATGCCTCCCTATGAACGCCACCTGTCCGACTGTAGACCTCCTGGATATCTTATCCCCTGCGCTGTCTGAATCCACCATCACGAGGATCTTGACAGGTTCGCCAGCCGTGATACTTAGATCGCGCCTGCACGTCTGAACAACGCGCGGGCGACCTTTCAGATACCTCCCGAGTCTCTTTAGCCGAACCATGTCCACCTGCCGTGGAGACTGCATGTACTTCGCTAGATTCTTGACTGCATCACCGAGATCAGCTCTGTCAGGCGAAAGATATGCAGCTCGCATGGTGACGCTCCTGTAACGCTTCACCTCTTCACCTACGAGAAGAGGAGATGTCTCTCGTTCCTGCTCGTCTGCTTCCTCCTTATTGAGTCCTGGCGTGTCCAGGGACTTCGCAGAACTCCCTCCTAAACCGAGCTCCCTCGCGATCATTTCTGCGTGTCGCGGGTCTGCTTCGATCTCGAACCTCTCGTCGCCGGGGCTGCCCGCGACCCTGAGCACCCTGTTTAAGAAGATCACTTCCTGCTCCTCTCCGGTGCCCAGCTTGAGGTTTCCTGTCACCTTCAGGTCATACTTAGACCTAAGCGTCTTCTCGATCTGGTCTAGCACCGAATCATCACCTAGTGCACAAAAGTCATCTCCGTGTACTAACGAGCGGCAATCATCCCGACTGTTGTAGAACAGCGCGGGGTTGGCTCTGCCCGCCACGTGACCATCACTCTCTAACACCCCTGTGTAGTCGCGCTGCCAGATTGCTGACGCGTCTTGAGTCCCATACCTGGACTCCTTTAGCAATCCACAGTGGATTCCGTCTTGCTCCTGCTCTGGGAGCTCTATGTCCACAGGCCTCTGCGCCGTGCCACAGAAGTGAGCGCGGGAGATGTCGAAGAGTCGCATTCCGAGGGGCTGCCCTCTGGAACTGACCCTTTCCTGGACCATCCTGGCGCTAAGGATCTTCACCGCCTCCAGGGGCGGCATTGCCGAGAAGAGTAAGGCTGCCGGCAGCGCCCGGCCCTCTTCGCCTTTACCCCGCTTCTCGCGGACAACAATCCTCGATCTGTAATTGGGTCGTTCGTTGTCGCCCTTGTTCGTGTCTATCCAAAGCAGCATTGTTGGATTGGCCCCGGCGACCTCCCTGCGCTCCTGCAGTGGCCGTTTCTCGTGCACCTCTTGCCGGTGCAACCAATCGACCTCGCATTTGCGCGCCTCCCGAACCATCGCAGGATCGCGCCAGCCGCCGTTGACATCATCCCAGTAACGCTCGCCGTCGTTCAGAAGCTCTCGGCTGGCTTCGAAAGGCTCTGGGCCGAGCGGGAGCGGTCCTCCCGTGGCCTGCCAACTCGCAGAGATGCCCCTCATCACGCATGCTCGCTTTGACGGCCTTCAGAACACACCTGACCACCCCAGGAGGGAGATCTGGCGCACGCCTCGCCAAGCCACCAACCATCTGCACAGTGCAGTGGCGTTCGGGGCGGGGCTGCCCGCTCACCGATCCAGCCTGGCGCTGCTCAGCCAGCTCTCCGACCAATCCTGGTAGATTCGTCATGAATCCGGTGGGTTCCCGAAGATAACGTACGCCACCATCTCGCGAACCCTCGTGGGCTGCACCATCCAAGCTCCACTTGCACACAGGTCTCTTTCCTCGTAAAACCGTCCGTTGCGCAAGCAATGCCTTGATCCGTTCATCATGCCAGGTCCTGGCGTCGTGTGGGCGTGCGTGAAGGAAGTGCCTAGTACGAGCCATCTGTCGACGATAGCTCTCGCAAGCTACCCACAAATGCTTCCGAGCTACATCCATGGCCTTGGCCAGAGCTGCGGGGCCCCTCTGGCGAACACCACCCTGAAGAAGATGGAGCGCAACACGCGGAGGCGACCCTATGAGAAGATAGGGGTCTTCACGTTCAAATGCCCTGAACCAGTCAGCCACGTCTGAATCGTCACTGAAGTCCCAATGCGTTCCGTCGGGCTTCGGCGCCTCCATGTCTATACAGATTCCTGGTTTCATGCCCAGGGCGCCTCCGAGCGAGCATAATGAACGAAAGTGCGCCTGAAGCTCAGGCACATCTACGGCTCCCAGCTCTAGTGAGAGATGTGTGATCTCTTCCAGCTCAAAAGATGACATATCAATATTGTTACGCATGAGTGCTGATACAATATTAATACGATATGTTATTCGAAGCGTTTCCTTGTCATACGAAAGCCTCCCAACACCCGCAGATCCTACTTCCATGGTTCGGTTGGGGGATCCAGCGGCGTCGCTGGCTGAGACTCCCGCCGGCGTTCCGCCCTCGCCGCCGGCTGCCGCGGGGCTACCCGCAAGCGGTGACACGGGGGCGCCCGAACTGGCACTCGATGCTCCTGGCGTCCCGGCCTGGATCCTAAGTTGGGCTGCTGGCGGCAGCTTTACATCATCATCCACTGTCTGTCCTGGAGTTTCCGCCGGCTTCCGCTTGAGCTCGGATTGGTTCCCAGGGCCCCTCTCTACGCGTCGCCGCCCCGACGGTCGCCCTTCTGAGCCCGCCGGGGGCCCTCGAGACGCTTCGGCGCGCCCCGGCCTCGGTTCGATCCTCGCGGGGCTACCCGCCGAAGAACTGCTGCCCTGCGCTGCTGACCTCCGCTCTCCTGCTGCTCCCGGCGGTGTGATTCCCCCTCATGGTGTTTCTTCTTCTCCTCCAACTACTATTCCTCCTCCTCCTCCTTCTCCCCCTTCTGCAACTGCTCTTGCTACTCCTCGCCCTGGCAGCCATTCGCGACGATCAGGGTGGCGATGATGAGTGAGAAGGGGGCGAGGGGAGGGAGGATGGCGAGCGAGATTTTCCTCTGCGGCCTCCTGGTCTGGCCTCGGCCCCTGCCGAGCTGCCTGCGCCTCCACGCGGTGTCTCTGCGCGGGGTCTGCGCGGAACCTCTCGGCCATCCGCTCGGTGCACTGCTTTGCGTGCGCCACCCCAGCCGGCAGGTCTATAGCGACGCGCCCGCGCGCCGCGCACTCCGGCGTGGACCCGTGCGCCTGCACGTCCCTCTGCAGGATGTACAGCTTCCTCGGCCCTGGAACTCCTCCTCCAGCGCCTCCTGCGCCTCCTGCGCGCTGCGCCGCCGGCTGCTGCTGCGGCGGCGGCGGCGCCGCCGCTGCGGGGCTACCCGCTGCAGCAGGCCTGGCCGAGGCGGAGCTCCCCGCGCCCGGCGCCATGTCCCAAGGCTTGCCCTTGAGGTCGTCGAAGAAGTCCGCCTTCCAGCGCTCCTCGACCGTCATCTTGTTGAAGGTCTTGGCTCGCACCGCTCCGGCTGCCGTCATCGCCATCAAGCTGCCGGTGCGCGCGTGGTGCCCGACGTAGATGCCCTCGACCATCTTGGGCGCAAAGCCGGAGCTCGGCTCTTCCTGCGCCAGCCGGGCGTGGATGCGCTCCCCGAACTCAATCAGGGCCTTGTTCCAGCGCCTCCCGGTTCTCCTCTGCTCGGCCGCCCGGCCGTCGGCGCCCACCCTGTACCTCGACAGGCAGGCGGCCGCGTGCCTGGGAAGCCACGTCCAGACGTCATGCGTCCGAGGCAAGCGCTTCTGGAGTCTCTCCTCCAGCGCCTCCTTCAAGGACCTCATCGTCCGCTTGACCTCCCGCACAGCAACTTCGGCCTCTCCGTTGGCCTGATGGTCGCCGACAGGACTCTCCTGTGGCACCATTTCCACACGAGGCAACGCGTCGCCTGCAGCCGCCTTCAGCGCCACTAGGCCTGCCTCGTTGTCTGACTTGG